GGTTTCTGCTCGCCTTGGTGGACTCACTGTGGAGCTCAGTTTGTTTGTCTAGCGCATTAATAGTCCCAGGGCCAGCTTTGGGAATCAGCTCTATCAGAAGTCGTAATGCATTTTTAATGGGCACCACTGTATTCTGTGGGCCCTGTCTGCTGGCCAGTAAAGCTGAATATAGACTGGCAAACAAACTCTATGAAATCAGAGAAAGAGAAATCTGTGGTGAGGTTTATCCGTAAAATGAACCACAAGCTCCTCAAATGCACACATACATGAGAGATCTATTTGATAATTTTGGAGGGTTCTTATCCCTATAAACCCTATTAAACCCTATACATAATTTTGAGATGGAACAGTTGATTTTGCATGTGTGTTTTTTGTTAAGTATCATATCTGATACATCAGGCTTTTATGGCTCATATAGGAAAATATGAAGGTCATACTCAAGAATGAAAAAGCTTGGAGGCCTGAACTAAGCAAAAATATGCAATTTGATGCAGCTGATAATACTTACATGTTCAAAAAAATAAGATGAAATTCTGATAGCTTGTAATCAATTATATTTAAAGCAGACTACTTACATAAAATGCATTTAAACTTAAGTTGTTGCTCTATATCTCCCAATAATATGTCTTACTAAGATGATATTTAAAGGGATAGTTCACCCAAAAATGAAAATTTGTCATCATTTACTCACCCTCATGTCATTCCAAACCTGTATGAGTTTCTTTTGTATGTTGAACATAAAAGAAGATATTTTGAAGAATGCTGGTAATCAATGCTGGTAGTCGATGGTCCCCACTGTCTTCCATAGTATGTCTTTCCCTACTATGGAAGTCAGTGGGGACCAGCAAATGTTTGGTTCTTCAAAATTCTTCAAAATATCTTCTTTTGTGTTCAGCATTCCTCAAAAGCCTAAAGCCTGTCAAATTAGAAATTCACATTTTAATGATCTGTATGATCATGTAAACCTAAGTTGCTTCAGTCCAGTAAATGTTCGTCTTGAAAAGTGTAAAAAAATTACAGTTATTTTTACGTTTACATTATAAAAACCAGTAAAGATTTAAAATAGACACGGGAACCATGGCGTCGTCGTTTTTAGAATTGTACTAATAGGCTTTTTACTTGCCAAAGAAGTTACAAAGAAGTCATTCAATGACTGAAGGCATGTAGTAAACTGTGCGCAATAGGTTTTTCAGCAGTTTTTAATCATGTTTATAATTTAGAGGCCTTAGAAATTTGTGTATCAAATGATACAGTAAGCTTTATGAGCCCTCCAAAAACTGGCCAATGAAAAAACATATACGATAATATAATGAATTATCTGTGTTGTTTTTTGTTTTTTTTTAGAATGCACAGCTACTTTTGAATTGAAGAAGACGCACTTCAAAACCAGATGGTGTAATTATGAAATCAACCACCAGGGGTTAACTGGACCATGCTAACCAGACAAACCTTGGAAGAACAAGGTTGGTGGAAACAGAGATTTTGACCAGGACATGGAGGCTGAAGGTGAAGTTCATCTTCGAAAGCATTGCAACATAGCCCACTGGTAACTATTTTTTCAAATTGACAAATATTTGCTATTATTGCTAACTCCTGGCAACATGGCGCATGTATTAGAAAGCAAGCATCTTGGTGTTTACTGAGGACACACTCATTGAAAACTTTACGAGTTTCTGCCCTTACTTTTGCCCTTCTTGTGCTCTTTCTTTTCTCCCAGCCTCTCAATGTGAAGCTTTATTTGCATGCTCACACATTTTAGACATTAAAAAAACATTACAGAGTCACTTCCATTATTGACTGGATGATCATGTAATAAAGGCACTCAGCACAGATGTACGATGTTTACTTCATAAGCACACAAATGCTCTCTCAAAGACTCTCTGGCTCTCCGTTTACTAACTTTGTCTTAGTAAAACTTGGCATGTCTGACCAAGAGACTTGTCAAGCACGCACATAAAAATAATGCAAGTAGAAAGCAGAGCATTCGCACAGTCCAACCATCACTCGAGTAGTGGCGAAAAAGCATCATTTCATGCTGAACTTAATTGATTTTACACATGAAAAACAAACCCACACCAGCGAACACACAGTTTGCAAATGCACTCAAACGCGATACGCCCTTCAAATACACCAAAGGTAATTATTAAAGGTCAGATTATGCATAAAAACATAAAACCTGAACGTCTCAAGCCGGCACGGTCGGTTTGCTCAGCACGCACATGCATTCACACACTCAAATGACGCACGTCATTTCGGTTTCTAGACATTTCACCAGTCATTAGTCACTGTTCTGACCCTGCGATTTTATAAGGTCAGTGGCATAGGATGGGTTTTGTGTATGTGTGTGCGAGCACGTTGGTCTCTACACTAGCCCATGTTTGTGTTGGATGAATCCAGTCATGTTGGCCTCATTGGATTTCTCAGAGCTGGTCAATAGAATCTCTCTCTTTCTCTCCTTCAATGTGCCTCTGTATTTCGTCCCAACAGACACTGGATATGTTTAGTTGCACCATTATGACACACACTATTCACTAATTTTGGCACCCATTTATCGAGCCTCATTAAGCTTTCCTATGATAAATTGTGTTAAATTAACAAGCTGGGTATACACTTCACTAGCTTGCCCTTCTAAAACTGCCTTTGTCATTGTGTTCATCTCACACATATCTTTACCAAAAGAAACTCTTATAAATTTTAATATATTTAGAAATGCATCTCTGCCATGTGACACTTTTATTCCGTCACAAAGCGTAAGAAATTTGTTTTTACCCACCCGCTAAAATCAGTAGACGACAGATAATCTATCATTCGTTCTCTCACGCACACGCACGCTTTCTATCTCGGGCATGGCATGCTTCCAGCACTTATCAATAGCCCTCATTAAATCATGGTGGTGTCTGTCTGCCATGACACATTACGGATGAGAAACAGATAGCTGGACTGACGTCCCAGTCTTCCCGCCACCGGAGGACAGTGCTACGCTTCCCCGTGCTGAAGAGAGACCAAAGTGTCAACTTTATTTACATTATGATGGTGTTGAGTGCATTAAAATAGCCTTCTTTTTTTTTTCACAAACGTCATATAGTCGGAACACATAACAGAGGAATACAAAAATATAAATGTTTCATTGTGCTTCTTCTTTTGAACTGATCGCAGCTAGTACTGTACAGTTCCACTCAAACAAAAGCTGAGCTTTGAGAAATCAACATGAATGTATGATCTTAGAAATACAGTATGGCGCAGAAGTCTGAAACCGCACTGAAAACTGAAAACGGAGTTTAAAAGCTAGAAAAGTTTTGGATTTTGTGTGAAACAAAGTTTCCATAAAAAATGAAAAATTATTTCAGATTCTGCACTATTTCTAGGTTACTAATCAAATAAGCTCATTTGTGACTGATTATGTGACTCTTTGTACAGATGGTCAGATATTTTATTTCTTCCACTGGAGCACAAATATGCCCTCAGGGTTGTCTTAAATTATGTTGGAGAACATGTGAGCTCTAGGAATTTATGCAGCTCGAGAACTCCTATCAATAAAGAATATACAAAGTACTAAGATATTGTTTCTACTTGTTATTCTAACATCTGTAATCATATAGTAGCTTTTTCACTAGTGGTCTCAGTTGTTTCGTCCCCACTTTAAGTCTTCGTTGGTTCTTTGCAACACCTTAATATTCAGGAAAGATCTTTTGTCTCATCAATGATAATATAATGTTTTTAAAAAACTATACAAGGTTCTTGAGCTGGATTTAGTCTATCATTTTTTTAGGTCTTTAAAAAAGATCTTGATGTTACATGTTGGTTCTTTGCAACACCTTAATATTCAGGAAAGATCTTTTGTCTCATCAATGATAATATAATGTTCTTAAAAAACTATACAAGGTTCTTGAGCTGGATTTAGTCTATCATTTTTTTAGGTCTTTAAAAAAGATCTTGATGTTACATTATAGGTTTTTCAGATTGGAGTTTTGGTTTCTGAGTTCTTCAAAGCATAAACATATAGTTTTCTAAAGAATAAACGTTCCACAGGTTTTACAGCAATGCCATAGAAGAACCGTTCCCCAAAGAACATTTCAGTAAATAGTTCCTAAAAGAACCATTTTTTTTCTTTCTCAGTGTCAAGAACGCTTCAATAATCTGCAGAACCTCCAACAAGCCAACAAGAAACAGCTCTTATGGTTCTTCATGGAACCATATGAATGTAAAAAAAAAAAAAACTTTATTTTTAAGAATAAAGATGACAAAAATGTATTTGTGGAACTCAAAATGGTTCTCCTCTGGTTGTACAGAGCTAGTCTGCAATTACAGACAAACAAATAGAGACTTTAGTCTAACTCTCCTACTTAGCAGATTTTTCTGCTCACATGTGTTTCCTCTACAGTTTCTGAAGAAAACTCAAACAGTGCTCAGATTTGCCAAGATGCAAAAGTCTACAATAAAAACTCAGATCAAAAGGTTTGATCTTTACAGTTCCATAAATTTAATGAATTCTCATTTTTAAGTCTCTGCTTCAATAATCTGCAGAACCTCCAACAAGCCAACAAGAAACAGCTCTTATGGTTCTTCATGGAACCATATGAATGTAAAAAAAAAAAAACTTTATTTTTAAGAATAAAGATGACAAAAATGTATTTGTGGAACTCAAAATGGTTCTCCTCTGGTTGTACAGAGCTAGTCTGCAATTACAGACAAACAAATAGAGACTTTAGTCTAACTCTCCTACTTAGCAGATTTTTCTGCTCACATGTGTTTCCTCTACAGTTTCTGAAGAAAACTCAAACAGTGCTCAGATTTGCCAAGATGCAAAAGTCTACAATAAAAACTCAGATCAAAAGGTTTGATCTTTACAGTTCCATAAATTTAATGAATTCTCATTTTTAAGTCTCTTCAGTAATTAAGAAGCAAAATCTAATGCAAAGTTGATACTTAAATGAGACATCTCTGAGAATCTAATTAACAAGTGACCTCTAAGCAATGAAGTCATCCTCACACCCACTCACCTGGAGTTTGTCATGTCCGTCTGTCCTCCTTGACTTTTTTCCAGGCCCAATTTGGTGAAGATCCCAACCAGCACCATGATGGCCACCACTCCACATATTATGTACACGATCATGTGAGTGCGGTCTCGATCCGGTTCCTCCTGGACGTCGGTCACCGGAGCCGCCGGCTTGCCTGTGTTGGCCCACACCGGCGTGTCGTAATTGGAACAAGACGTCTGGTCCAGACTGTGAACCTTGAACTGGCAGCAAAATCGGTAGTAGCAGGAGCCACAGCAGAACAGGTAGATTCCTGCATTACAGTTAAACGGAGGATCCCACTGGCCCATTACATCGTAGTAACCCCAACAGCGGCTCCCGGCCGACGGGGTTTCGTCTGCGTCTGACCCCGGGGTCGCGAGTGTGACCTCCGGGGCACCAGACGGAGCAGCCGTCCGATTTGTGGCTTGCTCACCTGTGCTGGCAGTGTTGGATTGTTGACCGTAAGAAACGTAGCTCAACAGTAAAACGGCAGTCAACACATTCAAAAACAGGTGTGAGGCAGCCATGATCCTCTTTGAGTAATCCCACAATGCGTATCCCAGAATGCAACAGCGCCACTGGAGACAATTAAACCAGCGGAGTTTAGTTAATGTGAACCAAGAAAGCAAGTTTGCTGAGCAAAGAGTTCTGTCTCCAAGTTTAGAGCAGGTTAAATGCTGACTTGTTGTCCGGCTCCTAAACAGCAAGCTGATACAGGGAAAGCAGCCCTCATCAGGGAACAAGACGGAGAGCTTTCCACGCCACTTCAGCACACAATGTGCTCGCCGTTGTCATCACTACAGGGAGAGAGTGAGAGTGAGCAAGATTCCTCCCCTTTGGAGAGACTCCAGGTTCGAGGATCTAACCCTGAGACAAACTGTTTCGTGGCCCGAGAAAAACAAAACAAAACAACACTTGGTAGGATTCCAATTCAGAAGCCTGAAGAAATGACACTGTTGGAATCAAGCCTTATTCGTGATCTTTGTCCCACTGAACATTGCGTGATGCCTGCGAGGAAGAGATGCCTCACGCTACAGTTCGGAGGTATTCCACAAGTCATTCTCAGTGTTTTACACCATTCAGTTCTCTCAAAGGAATATCTGTTGTTCTTTAGTCCTCCTGACGCTTTTGTTTTCACAATCAAGGTGTCTTGCTTCTGCTCAGTTCTGTCCCCTGTGACAAAACACCAAACATACTGTCATAAACTCCCATTTTCAGTCGAAAAAAGATTATGATTAAAGATTCTGCTAAGATGTTAATGTGATAGTTATTGATAAGTAATAAAAGTATAATATGTCTGAATATATAAATGTAAACTATAACTACATACTTTTGAGTCAAAATATATTCCACGCATTGTCACCCAAATATTTTTGCTGACAGTTCTGAATACATAAATGTTAATTGGAATATATACTGTACTTCTAAGTCTAAATATATAGATACATAAAATATAAATTATATATAATGATTAATGATTGTAATCATAACAGTAAAATAAAAGATATAAAATGTGTACAGCGCTCTTTTAGGGTTTGGCTGAGATGATGGGCAGGAAGCAGCAGGGGATTAATGGAACGGAGGGATCATGGAGAGGAAGGAACGACGGAAGAGTGAATCCAGAAATATGGACTGAGGAGAGGATGAATTGATAGATCTTATCTTGGAAAAGCAAAAAAATGTGGGTGAATCTCAGCCAAATATAGAATATTTGTTGAATTTATTGAAAGAAGATTGTAGAAAATGTCATACCCCAAAAGTTTGTAATTAGCCATTTAGAATATACAGTGGGTACGGAAAGTATTCAGACCCCCTTAAATTTTTCACTCTTTGTTATATTGCAGCCATTTGCTAAAATCATTTAAGTTAATTTTTTTTCCTCATTAATGTACACACAGCACCCCATATTGACAGAAAAACACAGAACATTGTTGACATTTTTGCAGATTTATTAAAAAAGAAAAACTGAAATATCACATGGTCCTAAGTTTTCAGACCCTTTGCTGTGACACTCCATGTTTGAACTCAAACTCAAGTCTGTAGTTGCTGTACAGTAGTTTGTGAAAAAATGCAAGAATTTATTAGCTTTTTTATTTACGTAACTAAGATAAATAAGTTTTGAGTACCGTAGATATATCAATATATTTTTGCATTGTGACAATTTTCATGATAACTAAATGTATTCCTCCCAATATTCATTATAATGTAAAATACAATACTAATACATCCATACTAAAACTAAATATAATACATAATTGTTTTTAAATGTCTTTTAACTTTTTTTCTACACAGAATAAAGCACGGATAACAGACCCATTTGCCACAAATTCCACAATTAAAATTCTGCAATATTATCGTCATTTCAGTTAAATAATATGCATTAACATATAATTGGAATAGAATAATACATAAATCACAGCTACAAATTTTTTTATAAATATTATAAATAAAAGAAAATAAAGATAATATAAATAAAAAAATAATTAATAAAATACATAAAAAATAAAGAGAGGAGTGTCTATAAATTCAGCCAACACAGTTTAAAATTAAAATCATCATATTATGATTACAGGGGCAAATTCTTGATAAAGGCTTATTTTTACCAGATTCCTTGCACAATGTCACAACCTAAAAACGTTTCTACCATAGTGAATTATTTGTAAACTAATACATTTTGACATTTGCATCGCTTAACCAGCTCTATATGTATGGCTTTTCTGATGTAGTAAACTTGCTCAGTACCTTACCTGGTACAACGTTGCACTTGTGTGAAAAACATGCTACAAACAATTACACTAGGCTGTTATAAAAAATATACGAGATAAATATAAAGAGAGCAACATATTTCTGGTATCGCAAAAATGTAGTCACGTATTTCCAATGAGCCTGAGCTGCTACCGACAGCTGGGGAGGCGGGGTTTAAATGTGCTTAACTGTCATGAAAATATTGTCACAATGCAACAAATCGTTAAAGCCATAACATTTTCCCAACAGCTTTCGTGAGATTCACCCACTGAGAGTTGGATAAAAAGCAGCAGAGAAAGAAAATAAAAGAGGTCAAGTAAAGAACAACAAGAACAGAGCAAGAAAGAGAGAATCATTTGCATATATGATAATGTTTTCGTTGAGTGTTTTGGTTGCCGGTGGCTCTGTGAGCTCTGATTGCTGTTAAATATTTCTGACTCATTTAAACGGGCTGCTCTAAAACACTGATGTTTCAGAAAACAGGCCGCAGCCGACGGCAGAAAGGGATTTTGAAGCTAGGGGAAACTTAGCTTTCTCTGGCCACAGGGAATCATCTCACGCAATCCAGTGTTTACTGATTTTGATCACTTATATTTCCATATTTACGTTGTCACTTTTGCAGTGCATTCAAGGTGTTCTCTCTGAACTGAACCCATGACCTTGGTCATGTCACCATTGATTCCCATGCATTTTTCTATTTCCTTCTCTTTCCATAGCATCTTTGTACTCAAAATCAGTCTCCGGGTCTTCTCTCTGGTTCTGTGTTTTTGAATTATTGCTCTGGCGCAGCAGCGGCTCTCGGCACCACAGGGAAGGAACGGATGAGTCCAGAGACCTTGTGGGAGAAATAAGGGGCAATGAGCGTTCAGGCCGGGGGAAACTTATCTTTAATCATTTCAGATACTCTCTCTCTCTCCGGCCTGATCATGCCATTCCTCTTCTAAATGGAGGCAAGTGGCCTTGGATAATCCCATGTACTCATTTGCTTTGTGTTTATTTGTCTGTTCGGTTCATCTCAGCCAGGCCCTGTTTCGTGGTCTATAGGTCCAAGCAAGATGTTTTACTGGCATTTGGTATAAAATAAACTATGTACTTTTTTATTCGAAATTAACACAATTTAAACAAGCAATTACATCATATAAACATCTTTCAAACTGCACTCTAAAAAATGCTGGGTTAAATACAACCCAGTTCTGGGTAAAATAGGGACAAACCCAGCAATTGGGCTGTTTTGACCCAGTGGTTGGGTTACTACCCAGAAGGTTGGGTTAAACATTTAACCCAACTGCTGGGACAAAACAACCCAATTGCTGGGTTTGTCCCTATTTTTCCCAGCACTGGGTTGGTATTTAACCCAGCAATTTTTAGAGTGTGTGTTTTGCCTTACCCTATGGTAAGCCTATAATAATTATTTATATTTTCAAGCTGTCGGGACAGTTTTCCACAGAAACTGCATACTTTCCTCATTCATAAATGCGTGTTTACATCATATCCATAAATAAAGGAAAGATGGGCAGGTTACTATATGCAGTGGAAGTAGATTGAAGCCACAAAACTGAACCTCGAACCAAAAAGCAAAAAGGAAAAGCAACTGTAATGTTACCCGTAATAAAACCTGAATCAACATAGTTTGCTCATCTCATTTGCATTGACTAGTTTCATAGAACAATGTTTATGTTGGTAACAATGCTAGCCTATAAACCAGTTACTACTTTGGACTGTTTGTCTATAAATATTCTTGCCAAGTTATCATTTCCATCTGATAAGCTAAGTGTCTAATGATTAACGCTACCAAACCTTTGTAATTTTATATTAAATCAACTGATTTGAAGTCAAAACATCAGTGGCATAATGAGCTAACTACCTGCCTGTATGACATTTTTCGTAGATCCAACTTTCATTGGCCAAGATGTTGTTATGGTTAGGTTTTGATGTTATTAGTGACATTTGCACTGATAAAGTTTATCTGTAACCATGGACACAGCTGCGCACTTCTAGCCATGAGATTAATGTGCGCAGAATAGCAGAGCCGAAGCACGACTCACGTAAATACCTAAACAATATTCCTCCGCAAGTAACGTGTAGATTTATGCTTCAACCACTAGAGGGCTAAGTGTCATTTTTTCTTTCAGAAAACTTACAATGCCATTTAACATTGAAGAAGTTTGTGTGTGTGTGTGTGTGTGTGCGTGCTTGTGCTTGTGCGTGTGTTAGTTTTAATAGTTAATACTTTTTAATACTTTTAATACTCATCCAATCAGAGTCAACTTTTATTGACTCACTCTCATATATTTCCTAATCTCATATTGTGACCCAACAACACCTACACTTCATCTTTTCACCTCCACCAAGCCAATCCCCTTTTTCTTTCCCTTCTATCTTTCCACTCTTCCCCTCTCTGTCGTTCTCTCTCGCACACTCTGTTTGTCAGGAGCTGTCAGTCAGTATAAATTACTTTTGACTCCAGGTCCAGAAGGAAAGAGGGTGGAAAGAGGGGAGGGGTGTTGGTGTTGTTTTACAAGAATAAAAGAAGACAGGTGGAAAATGGTGCAAACAGAGAGAAAAGCTGATGATTTCGGTGTGATATTTAAACAGAAAAGATGTCAGAAAAGCAGAGCTATGTCTGTAGCTCAGTGGTTTACAGGCAATTTAAACACACAAAGGGGATGCAAAATACTCAAATTCTGACCAATACGGACACATGAAAAATTATTTTATGTTATGGTTAATACTTTATATATATTTTAAAGAGATCTATCTTATATATATATATATATATATATACACTGAACAAAATTATAAACGCAACACTTTTGTTTTTGCCCCCATTTTTCATGAGCTGAACTCAAAGATCTAAGACTTTTTCTATGTACACAAAAGGCCTATTTCTCTCAAATATTGTTCACAAATCTGAGAAAGAGGGTGTAAAATGTCTCTGTAATCAAACTCCTCCCTCTCTCTCTCTCCTCCGAACAAGCTCATCTCTCTCTCCTGATCCCTCCATTTCCATCAGCTCAACTCCCCAATCACTTTATACCTCTATTTCTCATCACTCTTTCTTTCTAGCCTGATGTACTCTTCCTATTTTTCTCTCACTCACTTCTACTGTCTTTTCTCACCTTCATCATCTGATAAACAGAGACGAACTAACTTTTATGGACACTTTCTACTCTGTGGCTCTTTGATCAGCCTGTTAATTTATTAAGATCATTAAAATATTTATGTAAGACAGACTTATTTATTATTAAAATGGCAAATTTAGCTTTTTAAAAGCCAGTAAGGCAGCCAGAAATATGTGTAATTCTTCAAGTAGACTCATGTTTTTAACAAGCTCTGAATCAATGGGATTGTGTTTTCATGGTAGAAGATGTTATAGGCTGAATAACTTGTATTTGGGGTTAAAGAGAGACATAAAGCTGTTTC